ATTCTAGAGATTGAACCCAGGGCCTTGCATATGCTAGGCAAGTGCTCAACCATTAAGCTACATTCTCAGCCCCCTCTCCTTTTTCAAAATTTTATTTTGAGACAGAGTCTTGCTAAGTTACTCAGGCTGATCTCAAACTTGTGATCCTCCTGCCCCAGCCTTGCAAATAGCTGGGCTCACAGGTGTGTGCCACCATACCTGGCTGATTGTGCGCTTAATTTCAGAACATACATCAGCCGTTCCCTCGATGCAACCCTGGGCTGATCATAGCTACTTGGAGATTTTCAACCTCCAATTCTCCCATAAAAAATGTTCATGCTCAACAGCAGGAGACAGATCCTGTAGATTCTAAAACCCCATGTCCTTACCTCTAAATAAAGAGCTTTATCTAAAAAGTCTTCTTTACTTTGCAAAGTGACTTCCATGCACATTCCAAGTTTCTGTACCATTTCTTGCTAATTTGCACAGCTGCCAAACTGTTGGCAAATGGCAAATTATGATGTAGAAGTTTCCAACTCCTGACTACATTTAAAAGCCTCCCCCCAACCCCTTCTCCATTTTTATTAGTGTCACGACAGAACCACCATCTGTAATTACAGACCCCTTTTGTGGGCTTATGTGCCTGATGCCTTGGCGGCGTTTCCATTGCTAGACATCTGCCTTGGTGGCAATGAGGGTGAACGGCTGTGGATGCTAGGGTTTTGGATCAGTGAGCAGCCATGTTTGAATCATTCTCATTTTCATAGTACGAGATTGTTTTTCTAAAAAAAAAAAAAAGTTAAAAGAAAAATAACTGGGAAAGAGGCAGGAGGGGCTGTGTGTGGGGTAGCAGGCTGGACAGACATTTTGACAAGAAACTACGAGCAGACTTCTCACTGAGTGAATGGCAGACAGCACACCAGTCTCCACTTACAGGGCTCTTCCCTGGCCTTACAGGGACTCCAGCCTCACCCTGGTAGGAGACCCGCTTTATCTACTTCCCTTCCAGTTAATAAGGTGCATTCTCTTCCAGAGCTTCAGGCCCTCGGACCCAGGAGTCCAGCCTGAACGTTGTCTGCCTTTTCCTGATTAAAACTTCTAAGAGCTTAAACTTTCATTCTTGCTGATTTCTGATATCTTGACTGGGTGTCTAGTTTCCACACTGCACCTGCCTTATACTTCCTACGGTTGGAAAAGACCTCACCTGCATTTCAAGGTTGCTGCAAGGTGTGGAATGACTACTGAGTGCTAGGTTTAAAGAAATGCATCTGTACCTGAAAATGCCCCAGGCAATGTGTAGGAGATGGGGGCAGAATTAGGGCTCCCATAGGCTGGGCATTTCAACCAGCTTGATTTGCAATTAGGAATTCCATAGTTAGATTTCTGTGTGACCTTGAATAAGTTATTCAATCTCTCTGACCCCCAGTCTCTTCATCGCTAAGGCAAATTAGTAATAAGAAGTGAGAAGATAGGATTCTTTAGCACAGAGCCTGTGTATCTTAGTGGCTTAACCCTTGTCAGTTGCTTTCATTAATGCATTTATTTGATGAATTCTTACTGAGCACCTGTTCCAACCATGGCCAAACACCATGCTGGGGGTTTATGTTTTTCCACTTAACTTCTTCTTGGCATTTTTCTCTGTGTCTCAGATAAAGAGGCTGAATGGCTTGCCTGAGAAGTTAATCACACTGGGGCTGGAGCCGGGGTTTGTTGCACTCCTGAGGACTGTAGAAGAGCAGGGGTGGACTTGCAGTGTGTGTGTGTGTGTGTGTGTGTGTGTGTGTGTGTGTGTGTGTGTGTGTCCATGAATAAAGTGAGCGGATCGACAGATAAACAAGAGAACAGATTTGGAGTTGTGAAGGCAAAGAACACAGAGCCGCGATGACTAGCAGGGTCGGCAGACACAGCCCGTCAGAAGGCAGGTATTGGGAGGAGACCTGAAGGAGAGGCAGCTCTGGGCAGATCTGGAGGAAGTGGGTCAGGCAGAATCATATTCTAGAGAGCAAGAGGAGAGCAGTGCTCTGGGGTGTAGGAAGTGAAGGAAAAGCAGCTCCTTCTCTCCTTAGTACTTTCTCCAACCAATCCCCCTTCCTTTTCTTTCTTCCTCTCTGTAAATGACCCACGGAAACCCAATGAGACACTCATGTCATTAAAGTACCCCAGAACCCAAGGGAGGACTAGCTCCATCATTTGTAGGGTCCCGAAGGAAATGAAAAGTTTGACCTCTCTGTTCCAAAGTATAAAATTTCAAGGCAGTGATGGCTGAGCATTAAGCCAAATGTGGGCATGCAGCCAGCCCTGCCCCGAGCTTTGCTCTTAGGGAGTATTTCCTAACTCTTTGCAGTTCTTGGTCCTAACTCAGTGTCTTAGAGCTCAGATCTGAGATTGAAACACAGCATAGATTTCCATAGTATCACAGGAATTGGGGAACTGGGAGAAATTACCTACAAAGATGTCTCAACACGTTTCAAAGAGTTAATGACGTACAAAGGATGGTCTCTGATCACAGTGTGGTCACGCTGGTTATCAACAACAGAAAGAAGCATATGTGTTTACTAGGCTACGGGTCTGCTGCCCGGAGCAGGAGATCAGCTCCCACCCCAGGGCCACCTTGATTCTTCCATTGGTTGGCAGCTCTGCCACTCAGCACCATACTTCTAATTGTCGTGTCACCTGGGGTAGGAGCTTTGGACTGGGGCCTGAGATATTGCTTCAATCTGATCTCTCAGTTAGGATTCAAACCCCACCTGAAAGGGGAAATGAGAGAGAGAGAGAAAGAGAGAGAGAGAGAGGGAGGGAGGGAGGGAGATGCTTCAGCTGCAAGTGAAGTTATTTGAGAGACTTTGTTCAAAGTACAATTAGGAAATCATGTTTACCCACGTTGGAAATTAGATTCAAATGTAATAGACCTTCCAGGCTGGAACTGTCGCTCCGTGCTCAGAAAGTCAGGTGTCAGGCATGCAGCGTTTCAGCATTTGCTGTCCTGTGTCAGGGCCTCACTACTGGAACTTAGACTGAGGCACCTTCCCTCTTGATTAATGGTGAATTCCCGTTATTCATGGAGGGAGGGCTGCGGGGAGGGAGGGCTGCATTGGCTGCCAGACAAGCCCATCTGTTTCTGGTCCAGAGCCTACAGCTACTGTCTTGCCTTGGCTCAGGCTTGGGGGTTTGGGTAAGGCGTGGAGAGGTCAGTGGATAACCTCTGACCTCCAGGTCAGCTAAAAGTGCATCCATTCCAGCCGGGCCAATCGAGATGAAGGCTCTGGAAAAGTCTTCTGTTGGCTGGGGTGAATATGAGATGCACATTTTCCAACATGTATCCTTTGATGACCTGGCTAAAGGTAGGATACGGGATCACCTGGGTCTCCCCACAGAGTGTGGCTACCACTGGGGACATACTTCTGAGTTCATTTATTCACTAAAAGATCCAGGCTGTGGCCAGACTGCACAGTTTCCCGCTTCATCGTAGGACAGTCTTTGGGAATGCCAAGAGCCCTTTTCCTGCAACTATCTTATCTTTTGGTTAATATCACCTATTCCCATGAGCGATGAGTCTGCTCCAGAGCTGGAAGGACAGCTTAGAATATTTCTCCATTAGTCTCTGTGTTAGTTACTTTCCTGTCACCGGGACAAAATACTCAAAATCCTCAACTGAACGGAGGAGAGGCATGGTTTTGGCTCACAAGTTTTGGAGGATTCAGAACACAGTGGGGAAACAGAGCATGGCAGAGGGAAGGTGCCAAGCTCACGGCAGCCAGGAAGCAGAGAGAGAGAGAGAGAGAGGGAGAGAGAGAGGGAGGGAGAGAGGGAGGGAGGGAGGGAGAGAGAGAGCAGCCCTGGACGAGAAACACCCTTCTAGGTCACGTCCCAGGGACTTGCCTCCAACCAGGCCTCGCCTTCTAATAGCACTGTTAGCCTCCCATCTTATTAGTGGACGGACCTACTAAGGTGTCTGGTGCCTTCGTGACCCAGTCACCTTCCAACCACATGACACGGCCGGGAGCCGTCTGCATCGAGACCATAGCAGTTTAAGGTTGACGCCTGGCCGAGTTCCAGCGTGAGGTCCCAGTGCAGGTGAACGCACCTGCTGCGATGCTGCTGCACAGGTCCCTTGCTTTCCGAGCAGACTTTGCAGGTCACTGGGAGTCAGAGCTCCAAACTACCCCATCTACTTCGGCACTATGGGAAGTCTGGTAATTGTGATAAAAGTACCCTTTCTGAAAGACTTTGAGCCAGTTATTATGCCACCTGTTTGCTATTCACCAGCCCCACAACAGTTGTAAAATTCTTTTCGTTAAAATCCTCAGGTTGTAGATAAGGAAACCGAGGCTCACCGAGGTCCAGAATCTTTACTCAGCCTCCGCAGCAGGTGAGGGAGCCGTGATTTGATCCCCGGGCTGACGCTATCACCCATGCTTCAGTGCCCAAGCCCTGCGGTCATGTCCTCCTTCCTCTGTCAAGTCTCTGTTCTCTGCCTAGTGGCCAGCCCGTCCCGATGGTGAACTTGTATCCATCACTGGGATACGGGGCCGAAGAACTGGTGTATTACTTCCCCACCAGTATTTGCATTTAGACTGCTGTTGTCTGGCAAAGGCTCGCCCTAAAGGAATACATCCGAGGACATTTAATCAATTACCTTTCTTATTATCAGTCTCCTGTTTACAAATTTCTAGCACAAATTCTTCTCTATAACTCCACATACACTGAGGTGAGAGGGGACCACTTAGCACTGGTCGAGAGATGAGGGTCCCATTCCCAGCTGTGCCTCCAAATAGATCAGGACCACGGAAAGGTCTTCAGCCCTCCAGGGTCCTCTGCTCGCTGTTCAGCAGGTAGTAACCACCGGGTACTTTCTGGGGTCAGGCTGGATGTGGCCTAGAGAACAAGCTACCTCATGGAGTGTGCATCCCAGAGACTTTCTGCATGGTGGAGGGGCCAGTGGATTCCAAACTCCCTCTTGAGAACAGAGCTCCCTTTTTTTTATACCAAAGAAAGTTCTAGTTTAGGATGAAATACAGCTATCATTTAGCTGGCGTGAGAGAGGAAGATATGGAGCTCTAGTCTCTAGAGCTTCTTGACCCCAAGGAAGCCCCCGTGAGCTCTCCCAGAGCTCAAGGCTCCACACACCATGGTGTGCAGACTCGAGTGCCCCCCTGGGCCCACAGTCCTGGATGTGTGTCTAGGCAACAGGATGGTTCCTTCTGCCCCATCTGGTTTAGTGCTTCTCTGGAATAGGCAGAACAGAACTCTCCCTGCATCTGCTGGAAAGTATTTTATCAGGCCCAACCCGAGCCTCTTCCCCAGACCACCTCACAATAAAGGTGTTAGGTGCTTTTGACATTTACTCCTATGATAAATATGGGACACGGTCCTTAGAAGGTTCCCATCCATCCTCTTTATTTTAAGCATACTCTATTTTACTGAAGCTTCTCAAACAACAGATCATGTGTGGCCCAGACCGGACACCGCCTTTGGCCCGGACAGTATTTCATTCTGAGCAGACAGTTGTTAGATCACCTAGCAGCTCTCAAATTCTACCTCCGAGGTCCTGTGCCCAATCCAGTTACGCAGGTTCACAGGCAGGGAGAAGCAGGACACAGTTCCCATGAAGATGTAGGATTAACAGGCATCCATACCGGCATCTTATTTATCTTCATGGTGTGTTCTTTTCCAGAGTCAGAGCTTAGAAATGATAGTAATGACTGCTTATAATCTCTTGCCACTTTACATTCTGTACAGTGTTTTCTCCCCCACACAGCAGGGTTTAGCAGTGCAGTGATGGGCTGTGCCTCCTCCCTGCTTATTCATCATGCGAAATATTGGCCTGAAAAATCCAGGTTTTCCCCTTAAGGTTGGAGCCAGCAGGGAGATAAACTATGGTAATAGAGTCTAAAAGGAACCAGAAATGAAGTCCCAGATGAAGAAGATTTAAAGGGACTGTTTCCAGAGCTCCGTGTGCAGGGAGGTCCCAGGGGGCGGTGAGGCACCCGGGGATTAGCAGCAGCTGGGAGAAGTCCTGCCACCAGGTTAGAGGGAGGGAGGAAGGGTGCCAGGGGCGGGGTCCAGAAGGAGGAGTGTGGAGGAAGGGCAGGGAGAGGAAAGAAAGTGAGCAACGGAGAGGGTGGGAGGGAAGGAGGAGGAGCAGGATGGAGACGGAGGTGGGAGAGAGGGCGTCCCAGAGCCAGCGTAGGAGATGCACTGGAGAAAAACCCAGGAGAACTGATTCTCCACTCCCCCTGGCTTCCCTCCTTCCTTCCAGTTTCAAATGAATCCCCATGGGCCAAGCCCAAAGGGCAGCTGGGAAAGCAGGAAGCCAATTGGTGTGGTGTTTATAGTTCAGCCCCAGGGCGTGTAGTGGGAGCACTGCAGTGAGTGAGGGAGGAGGGGGGAGGGAGGGGAGGAGGAGGAACCCAGGAGAACTGATTCTCCACTCCCCCTGGCTTCCCTCCTTCCTTCCAGTTTCAAATGAATCCCCATGGGCCAAGCCCAAAGGGCAGCTGGGAAAGCAGGAAGCCAATTGGTGTGGTGTTTATAGTTCAGCCCCAGGGCGTGTAGTGGGAGCACTGCAGTGAGTGAGGGAGGAGGGGGGAGGGAGGGGAGGAGGAGGGAGGAGGGAGGAGAAGAGACAGGGTACAGTATCCAGCACAGTTGGCTGTCATGTAGCAAATGGGTCTCCCGGAGTGGAGGAAGGGCCCTTTCAGGGGCCGGTGGATTGGGAATAAACTCACAGGGCCCGCTGGGACAAAGCACTGACAAGGATTAACACCGGTTGTGCTTTGATTAGTGATCAGGCTGCAAAACTTTCCTGAGTGTTGTCCAAGTAAAGGTTGGTGTTGAGTTAAACACTTGAGTTAAACATTTGTCTTCTAAAGACAAATGGAGGAGTGTGCCTGAGTCTCAGAAAAGCTTTCACTATGTAAAAGGGCCGTTTCTCTTTAAAATGCCGGTTAGTAAATATCTAGCCTTTGGGGGTCACATAGTCTCTGTTACAATCACTCTGTGTTGTTGTTAGGTGTAATGCAAAAGAAGTTACAGGCAGAAACCCTTTAGTTATAAAAACAGGCAGTCGGTTGAACTTGGCCCATGGAGGTAGTTTACTGACCGACCCTCTTCTGCTGGAATCACCAGGTATTTCTTTGGGACTGATCTTTCGTGAGCTCTGGTGAGCCCTGGAGCTGAAGTACCGAGGTGTTAGGTCCATGAGGGTAGGGACCAAGGCATGGCAAGTGCATCCCTCGGAATAAGTGTGCCGGTTTTCCAAGGAGGGAATCGCCCTCAGTCCAGCTGGAAGGGGCCAGCCTGAGAACTCAGGATTAGGTGATGCTCTAGGTGCCTGAAGATTGTGGCTTGGTACCCTGCATTCTTGTAGTGAGCACCTGTACACTGGTCAGGAGCATGACTTTCATGGACCCTGCAGATCTGTGATTCAAAGCTGCATGACCTCAGAGAGAGCGACCTGTTCCTCATCTCTAAAATGGGGTCACGTGAGTTAGGCAGATGAAATTATGTACACAGCATATCTGTTGAAAGAAGGATTCTCCCTCAAGAATAGCTACTACTGTAACTCGTTTAGAGTTTCCCACAATGCCTCGGGAAGCTACTCTGCCCCGGGACTGATGTGCCAGCCTCACTAAGAATATAAAGCAGATGCCTTGCTTGTTGGTAATAGCAATGCTATTAATAACAACAGCACTGGTTGTACTAAAAAAAGTAGTAGTAATGGTTGCTGCCATTTAATTAGCACTATATGTTTGCCAGGAACCACGGTGAGAAATTTACAAGGGTGATCTCACTCCGCTTCCCAACTATGGAGACAGGGCCCTGTTATTAGCCCCGTTCTACAAAGGAAGACAGGAAACTCAAGAGCTTCTAATCACATAGCAGCAAAAGCTGGAAGTAGGACTTGAACCTTACTGTGTTCAGTGTTACCCACCATGTTCCCCAGCCCCTGCCGGCAAGAGTGTAACACACTTTCTCTGCCTCCTTCTAGTGTCCAGACATCGGTGGATTGTGGCAGCGGAGGCAGGAAAGAGACGTAAGTGAACCCTGCGTGGAACTGAGTAGCTGAACAAAGGTGAACCCCCGGCTGTGTGTCGTCTGCAGAGGAGACACTCACGTCACTGGGAGAATTACCAGCAGGGCCTGCGAGAGCCCCGGCTTCCTGGTCATAACACGGTTCAGGGGGCGATAAGATTCCAATTTAGAGAGCAGCCCATGTCATCACGTCCCCAGTCCTCAGACACCTTAGTAGCTCCTGCACTGCCCCAGGATAGTCTTTTCTGATTGGACATCTGTGTCCCGTGCCATTTGAGCCTTACGTCCTTTCCTGCCTTTTCCATCTAGTCTGCACGCCCTGACAGTTTGTGCCCCCTCCCTGCATATATCTATACCGTGCTTTCCTCCTGGAATTGCCTTCCCCAGTGCCCGTGTGTCCCTGAGCGGAGTAGCTCAATCTCCAGTGCTTGGGGTCTTCTATGTGCTTCTAGGAAACAAAGCGAGATTCCCCATTTATTGCCCTTAGAATTGGCCCTCAGTCTTTTCCACACTAGTAATCATTTTTCTCATATTTCACGGCTACTTATCCAGATGTTTCCTTATTTGGTCTGTTAGGATGGAGTCTTGAGGACAAGAGCTTTCGTGTAGCTCCCCTCCCATAGTCACTGGCACAGAGTGTCCTCTAAGCAGATCAGCACTGGTTTCCAAAAAAGAAAGAGTAGTGGTAATCACTGCTACCATTTAACTAGCGCTATCTGTTTGCCAGGAACCACACTGAGAAATTTACAAGGCTGATCTCACTTATTCTGCTTCCCAGCTCTGGAGCCTGGGCCCTGGGATTAGCCCCATTTTACAAAGGAAGCTCAGGGAGGATGAGCTACTGCCCTACCATCACACACACACACACACACACACACACACACACACACACACACACACACACATTGCACATAGCGCAGTACCAAGTGAGTTTGTCAACCAGAAAATAGTTACTGAATACCCATGTGGACCTCTCTCTCACACACACACACACACACTGCACATAGCACAGTACCAAGTGAGTTTGTCAACCAGAAAATAGTTACTGAATACCCATGTGGACCCCTCCCGGCACTGCTTTCAGAATCAGAGACTGTACACAAATTCTTGGTTCACAGAATCATTCCAGTTAGGACAAGGAAGGAGTTCAGACCTCCACACTGACATAATCCCTGAGCATATAATTTGATACAAAATTCAATGCCAAGTGCGATTCCCAAAACAAAGGTTTCAGTATCTTCCTGGAGTGTGTGCGTCCTGAGGAAGAGGGCGGTGGCTAACAGCAAGAGAATCCAAAGGAGCAGGATTTGCCCCCTGGGTGGCCTCTGCCGATCCCAGAACTTCCTAACGCGTCGTGGGGACAGCCCTGACCCCCATCTCCGAGGGGCGCTGAGTGAGGTTATGCAGCTATGGCGGGCGGCAGTCTGGCCTACACTGTGGAGTGACAGTGCTGTCCTGCTCTGATTCCAGGGATGATGTCTCCGTCCTCGGCTCCCGGCCCGAGGGCAGTCTGCAGTCTTGGTTGAGCTGTACTTTGTCGGTGGCTACAGACACCGTGCGGACGCCCTCTCGACAGTCAGCTGCCGGCAGCTGCATCCGCAGCTCCAGGTAAGGGAAAGCACCGTTCCGCTGCCTCCGGGGGGACAGTCGCCCTGTGCTTTCAGACTCTGCAGGAGCTGTTCAAGCTTTCCACCCCCTCTGGCCTGGGCAGCGGTGTCACAGTCCTGCCACTTGGAGATGTGGCTTCAAGCAGGTCGCTTATCTTCTCTGTCTCTACTTCCGCGTCCTGAAAAATGTGGAATATAACTGTATTCACTGACCAAATGGTTGAAATGATGAGGATTCAAAGCGGTCCTCTCTGAAGCACGGTGTCCTGGTGGTTTTAAATAGTATAGTATAAATATGTTTAAAAGCAGCAGTTGTTATAGTTGCCTTCTATTTAGGGCAAATAATGCTAGTTTTTTACTTATGGATAGTTATGGGCTTAAACTTGTCTCGGTTAACACGGTCGCTTAAGGGTTTTGTTTTGTTCTCTTTTTGGTTGTGACTTTTAAAATGAGGAGTCCTAAAATTGGGCTGAAGCCAAGTGTAATGGCCTGTACCTGTAGTACCAGCTATTCAGTAGGCTGAGTCAGGAGGGTCACCTGAGCCCAGGAATTCAAGGCCAGGCTGGGCAACCTAGTCTAACTGTCTAATAAAAAGAAGAGAAGCAGAAAATGAAGGAAGGGAAGAAGGAAAAAAAGGAGGGAGGCAGAGTAGGAGGGAGGGAAGGAAAAAGGAAGGAAGGGAGGTAGGGAAAAATTTAGTTTGAGCTGGATGAATTCTCACTCAGACTTTTAGCTTTATCTGAGCATCAGGACTTCATCAGTTCCCTGCCGTAGGTGGAGATGAGTTCCGTCACAGCCAAGGCGGGATGGGCACAGGTCCACAGGACCGCACACAGCAGGTTTCCTCAGCACATGGCCCGGGTCTCTCTTTTACTTGCAGGAATTCAGTCCCCTTTCCTTCTTGCTTTCCAGCTCCATTTCTCTGCGCTCGCTTGGTTTTCCCCTCCCAAGAGCAGCCCTCTTGTAATTAGGTCACAATGGCCATAAATCAGAAATCATAGATGATGCAGATGCACCATGGAGATGAAATGCACGCGGGCTCTGTGATAACAGGGGCCAGAGGGACACGATAGCGGGAGAAGTCTCAGGCGACTGGAGCCAGCCCAGGTGGGCCCATCGGAGCCGGGGCTGTCTCCGTGGAAAGGGGGTGGGCGCTCCTGCTGCCCTCTCCGGCAGAGGTGGCACATGCCTGGAACGTGTCTGCAGAGGAAAGATTCGATGTGGAAAATACCAGAGGAAGGCCCGAGGAGTGGGGTCTGTCTGGGGAGTTAATGAAAGGGAGATTATGTGATCCTTGCTGTTAATTAAAAGTGAAGGTCTGTGTGGAGAAGGAAAGGGAGGACTTGTCCCCTCAGCCTTCCTCCCCCACATGCCGGTGGGGGAGACAGCAGAGTGCACAGCCCCAGGCGCGAGAGAGACGGCCAGGGCTCACGATGGAGTCGTGAGGCGCAGGGAGTGTGTGGTGACCCAGGGACCACGCACGCAGTTTCTGGCGCCTGTTTGCGTGGGAGGTGGTGGGTGTGGTGATTTCCGCTCCCGGTCTAAAGTCAGGGCGCCTGGGTTCCGAGCTTCATTTGTGCCTCCGCAGCTGTGAGGTTCGCGGCAGGTCGCTCGACTTCTCTGGTCTGTGTCCTTGGGAGGACACAGGGGTGGCTTCGAGGAACGGTGTGATGGTGCGCACGCCGCCTCGCACTCAGAGCCTGACCCTGGGGAAGAACCCAGGAGAGAGAGCCAGCTGCTTCCCAAGCTCAGGACCCTAGAGGTAGCGCCCGTACCCCGTTAAGGAGGCACCTGAGACCCAGAGGGGCCGAGCAGTGGACCCGTGTGCTGCTGGTGCCCCTCAGCAGGGCGGCTCCCCTGCCACCCCCGGAGACCTCTTCAGTCTCTTCGCCCTTCTCCCTCATGCCCCCCAAGTCCTCGGTGTGTTCATCTGCAGTCCAGGGTGCAGTTGCCTGTGCCAAAAACACTGCGGAGGCAGGAGACAGAGCAGATTATTTTAACATTTGTCCACCTTTATGTTCACGTCCCAAGGCTGGCTCACAGTAGGTGCTCGGTACTGTTTGTTGAGTGAATAACAGATCATAGCAGCAAAGCTGAAGCGGAGATAGTAACTATATTTGGCTACAGCTCGGTATGGACTGTGGCTCAGAGAAAGTCAATAATTCACTTGGCGTCACACAGCGGGCAGGAGTAAGAGTTGGAAATGAAACCGAGGTTTGAGTACATCACTCACCTGGCAAAATCTGCTGGTGACAGTCTACTAAAACCGCCCAAGAGTTGTTCTTCAGCATTCAGCATTTAGCCAAGAGTGATTTCTGCAGAGTGCCAGATCTCGTGGGATGAAGCCTTAAATCTTGCGAACACCATCCTTTGAATACACAATGGATGATACAAAAATATGGTGAACAGTTTTTAAATTTGCTTAAAAGTTTTTATTGTAGTGAAAGACACACTGCCATTACTCCCCTCAAAACACTCCCTCACTTCAGACAGTCGTATCCCGGAGCAGCACTGGGAGTCCTTTCCCACCAGTGTCTTTCTTTGCACTGCCGTGGCTGCCAGGATGTCCTGAACCAATCAGAAACGTTTACCTTTCAAGGTCATTTTGTTGTGTTTTGTTTTGTCTTTGGTGTCGGGAATTGAACTCTGGGCCTCGTCCTTGCCAGGCAAGGCCATTTTGACTCTGAGGAAGAGCCAGAAGCTGCACAGTGCCAGATCTAGTGAACAGGGCGGAGGACACAGCGTGTCACTTTTATTTGACAGAAACTGCTGTAAACATTTGACCAATGAGGGGCGATCGTAAAACATGGTGGGTGTTTACGTTTAAAAATGTGTTACAGTAAAAGACCCATTGCCACTAATCCCCCCTCACAATACTTAAAATTCTCCCCCTTGCTGTCAACACACTTATACCTTGTTCCTGGCTGTGTGTCTCTTACTGTAATAAGTTGGTTTTTAATTTAAACACTTGTAATTTGAAGATGCTGGACATTCGGAGTTAGAAAGAAACATTGATGTTGTTAGTGGGAAAACTGCGGTATGCAGAGGGAACTATCTTGCCCAGCTTGATCAAAAGGGCTGGCCTAGGTGCAGTCACTTTCACCTGTACCCCCCACCACGGTCCCCTGTTAAGTTTATTGGCGCATTGAAAGCAAACCATACAGTGACATTCGTCATTGGGATCTTGTACCTTTGCGTGACAGGTCTTGGTTCTTGTTTTTTCCCCGTCCCCCTGCCCTCCCTTCACCCC